CACGGGTGGTCCCTGTCCTCGGGTACAGGGGCAGCACTGGGGGCCTGGCCTCCAGCCGGGCTGGCCCTGGGCCCTGGTGTGCTTCAGCAGAGCACACTTCCAGATCGTGGATTTCCTGACCACCTCGGCTCCTCCCTTCTTCCTCTCCTCACTCTAACCTCTCCTGCTGGTTGACTCTGACTGCTTTCCTGAGCTCAGCTCCAAGGCTGCGCTCTGAGAGAAACAAGGCGGTGGGCCCAATATGGAGCACGCACCACTGCCGAACCCCCAAAGCACAGAGACAGTGGCCCTGAGGGAGAAGAGGCTGGCGATTAGCCCTCTGTACGGTCTGAGGGGGCCCCTGCCTGTCAATCACTGCACCCCTCCCTTGTGTGGCAGGCTGACTGGAATGCAGGAGAGACCATGTGCTCCCCTTTGTCTCCCCAGGAAGGGAGATGGGGTTGTAGGGCTGGTCAGGCCTAGGGCCAAGAGGAGGCCACACCCCACTGTCCCTCTGGCCTGACATCTGAAGGTAGCAGATGCATGATTTTCCCATATCTTCCCAAGGCAAAGTGTGGATACCCCCAGGAGGAGCTTCCGGGAGTCCAAGTCACCACCAGGGAACCTCGCACAGCCTCTCCGAGGGAGCACTCCTCATGCCCAGGCGGACCCAGGGCCCGCTGCCAACACTGGCGAGGCTATGCACTTTGTTGGCCTTTGTTCTGGAAAATCCCCAAGTACCCAGACCTGTGATGTACCTTGCAAAGACCAGATCTGATGAGTCACTATCAACTGGTACTCGAGGGTGATTTTAGGGAGCATGTCTGGGTGGGCACTTGCTGGGTTAAAGAGGGCAGACTTCCCTCCAGGGACAGTTGGCTGGCCCAAACACCGAGACTTGCAGTGAGTACCCTTTGACACCAACACTAACTCTAGTCTTTCTCCGCGCTTTGAATAATCCTCAATCCTTCAGCCCTCCAGACTAGACAGGGAAATAAGCCGTATGCTATTGCTTCAGGAGAATTTAAAATCCTTTTCATTCAAAACTTCTATTGTCCACGTTATCCCGAGGACTTTACATTTCATTCCGTCAGTGTTGAATAATCATCCAGTAAGTGCCAGGGTCTGAGAGTTCGGAAGGGAACCGAAGAAGCTTGCTCACAGCGAGAGGCACATGCCACGGCATCAGGGCTAATCACACACAGAGGTGAAGAAGGTGGCGGAGGTGGTGGTAAGCAGCCCCCCGCCCCCCAGAGCTGCAGCCCCCTCGGAGCCCTGGAACAGCAGAGACTGATGAGCACAAGAACTAAACAAAGATGGTTGGAGTGTGTGACTCCAGTGCAGGCAACAGGGGGCGGTGGGTCATCCGGCCACACAGGCCTTGAAGGTCCCATTAAGCAGTTTTGCTTTGTCTTGGAGTCATGGGAAGTTCCTTGATGCTGTGTGTGTGTGTGTGTGTGTGTGTGTGTGTGTGTGTGTGTGTGTGTGTAAGAGAGATAGACAGACACACAGGGAGAATGAGTGAGTTGCATAAGAGACATTTGGTAGATGGGGGTCATTGGGGGGTGGCTTGCAGCCATCCTGGGGTAGCCTGCAGATGCCCAGGCTGGGTGTGATGGCAGAGACAGACTTGACGGTTATGCTTAGAGAGGTTGTGGCCAGGGAATCTGTGTTCTAGAACCTGACAGTGGCCAGTGGTTAGTGGCCTGGGAGTGGAAACCCCAGAAGAAGACAAAGCTCGGGGCACGGGGTGACAGTTCAGTGCCACATGTGTTGGAGAATGGGGGACATCTGAGAAGGTGAGCTGCTGGGCGGGTATAACGGTATGAGACTCACAGGAAGTCTAGAATAAACACACATGTCTCGGTCATCTACAGAGGTAGCAGTGGGGTCATGTGCCTGTAAATGATGCCCCCCCTTACACCAGTTCCCCCGTAGCCTCCTCCCCGTCTCCCTGGCCCACCTTTACCCTATCTCCACCTTGCCAACTTCATCTACATGGGTTTACATTTGCACCAGGCTGCTGGCCTCCAGATTGGTGCACGTAGGTTTCCAAATGGAAGGAAGCCGCACAGCAGTGCCCCAGTCCTCGTCACACCCGCTTGAGTGTGTTGTACAAGACTCTGGTGCTAGGAAGCCACCTGATACCTGACACTGTTGAAATAGATTCTCAGACAGAGCTGCTCATGGTTTAAAAGTAGCAAATTAAAATTTACATTTACGCCGGGCAGTGGTGGCGCACACCTTTAATCCCAGCACTCGGGAGGCAGAGGCAGGCGGATCTCTGTGAGTTCGAGGCCATACATATATATATATACATTTACTAGATAGCATGTGCGTCTGTTTAAAAAGTATTTGAATGGTACAAAAGCTAACAAATACAGTGTTTAATCTGTGGCACTGAGGGTGGGATGCACCATATATGCTGGACAAGCACTCTGCCACCAAGGTGAGGTACATCCCAGCACCTGACATTAAACTACCTATAACCTTAATTATTTTTATGAGGACTTGATAGCTCACCAAATTTCCAATAAATGACCACTCCTCCAGTTACTGTGCTGCTGTTTTTTAATTTTACGCACTTGGGTGTTTTGCCTGCGTGTATGTCTGTAAGCTTTTGTGTGTGCAATTGGGGCAGATGCCAGGTCCTCTGGAACTAGAGTTACAGGCGGATCTGAGTGCTGGGAACGGAGTCCCAGTCTCTGAAAGAATAGCTGATGCTCTTAACTGCTGAGCCATCTCCCCAGTCCCTCCGTTACAATGTTGTAACGTATGTATCCAGATCTCGATATTTTGTTATTTTTTAAAAACAGATCTTCTGCCAGTAGCTGGTGGAGCGTGCCTTTAATCCCAGCAGCTAGAGGCGGTGGGATCTCTGTGAGTACAAGGCCAGCCTAGTCGACAAAGCCAGTTCCAGGACAGCCAGGGCTGATTCACAAAGAAACCCTTTCTCAAAAAACCAAAACCAAAACCAAACAAACCAAAAAAACACATCTTCTAGACAACTAATCATTTCCTTGGGAAGAATACCGTGACTCCAAAAGAGAGAGAGAGAAAAATACAGTTTCCTTTGACTTGTACCACTGGCCATCAAACACTTCTCCTCACGTGTGCCAGGGACTTCTGCACAGAGCCACACCCATACCCTGCTTTCTTTTAGAAAGGCTTCCTCTTCTAGTTCTCGGGGCACCGTGCTTTTCTCGTTGGAATATTGAGTTACAAGACAAATAAAAAGCCTGCTGGAAAGATGAAACCTTTGCGCAGGATAAATTAGCCTCCAGTTTCGGGAGCCAGCATAATGGAAAGGAATCTGGAAATTGCTTTTTGTTTTTGTTTTGTTGCCTAGTCTTTCCCGAGATTCCGAAACCATGGTGTTTTGAAGAGGTTAGAATGTTCTCTACTCCGGGCTCATGAATAGTGGGTTTGCCTGTACTGTTATTAGCGAACGCATCATACCCAACCTGCAGAAGGGCAATGCAAGCGGCTCCTTGAGCCTAATCAGAGATTCCAGTATTCCTGTGCCTTTATTACCTGCTATTAAGTAACAAATAGCAGTTTGCCAGGGGTGAACTGAGACATTGCCCCCAGTCCTGCTTTGTAGTCTGAGGCCCAGGACTCCAAAGCACTTGAGCACAGTATACTACTGCTTTATATAATTGTTGTAGTTAGGGTTTCTATTACTGTGAAGAGACACCGAGACCACCGCAGCTCTTATAAAGGAAAACATTGAACATTGGGACTGGCTTACAGTTCAGAGGTTTAGTCCCTTATGGTCATGGCAGGAAGCATGGCAGCCTGCAGGCAGATGTGGTGCTGGAGAAGGAGCTGAGGTTCTGCAGCTTGAGCCACAGGCAGCAGAAGCCCTCTGTGTCACACTGGGGGTAGCTTGAACAAAGGAGACCTCAAGGCCCACCCCCACGGTGACACATTTCCTCCGACAAGGCTACACTCACTCCAACAAGGCCACACCTCCTAATAGTGCCACTCCCTATGGGGGCCATTTTCTTTCAAACTACCTCAATAATGGATAATACTAATATTCTTGTTACCTGGATTAGAATGTAAGAGACAGAGCCTTTAAATTACTCTTTAGATCTGTTGATTTGCACACACACACACACACACACACCACTCTATTCTTGAGCTTTTTGAAGGACGATACTTTCCAAGACACCCCACTACATGAAAGCCTTAAGTCAAAGGCAATTCTGGAACCTGTAACGTACCTCCCATTCCTAGACTCCCTTGCTCATGATAAAGCAGGGCTTACAATTAAGCCCAATGAGAGCTTGACAAGGACTAATGATTCAATGGCACATTGATGGCACTGTACTGTGGAACATTCCAGCACCACCACAGCCAAGCTTTGGGGCCATTATTAAGTGAAGTAGGGCTACTTGAATTATTTCTGTGATAACTGTGGGTGCTCCTGTATAACTAATGGACGCCTAGTGTATACGTCATGGATACATTGAACAATTTACAGCATGGGTGGGCTGGAGCAGAACAGCGGGAGATGTCACCACTTACTCTGACAGCTTTTGGGTTTTTTTTTTTGTTTGTTTGGGGTCTTTGGGGGAGGGAGGGAATGTGTAGAGGTAAGAGAACAGCTTTTCAGAGTCAGTTCTTTCCATCAAGATAAAACTTAGACCATCAGGTTTAGCACCAAATGCCTTGACTCGTGGAACCATCTTGCCAGCCCAGCACACAGTTTTAAACTAAGAGTCATTTCTAAAATTCCTGTCTACATTTTCAGACTGCAGTCACCCATGGGTAAACAAAGCCCTGTTGAGGGGCGATGACCGAGGCAAGCCTGGGCTAAGTCATCCTCATGCCCTTCTCGCCTGGATTCCGTTGTTTTAGTTGGGTCACCGTGGTTCTGTTTGCTGTCTAAAGTCCAGAGTCATATCTGCCCTGTGCACACAGGGATCCGCTGAGTCACTGGGGCTGTGCAAGCGTAAAAAGGCCAGGTGGGTAGGGACTCACACTCAGCCACCCTCACCGTCCCACAGCTGTGACCACGGAGGAGTCAAGGCGCCTGCACTGAACCCTGGTAAACAGCAGAGGACACTGGGATAATTCTGCCCAGAAAAGGAAAAGGCAGGCACTTTAGTCCCCAAGAAAAGCAGGAGAGGAGTCCTCGGCCTTCCACTGCGGCAGGCAGTCAGGAGGTAGGGAGGCTGATTGTCAAGTTCTCTGGGCGGGACAATCCTCTTTCCCGCTGACTCTTCCAGCTCTCCTGAATGCATCATACAAAACTGGTCTTCTCTCAGTGGTTCTGGGGTAACAGGTGACAGTATTCCGTCTTCTCAAAGAAGAGAACTTTCTGGTAGGGACAGAGCATCACTGGAAATGAAAGGGGGGAGGCCATGCAAAGTCTCTGTCTGAATTCAGAGGGACCCCACTTCAGGCATCTTTAACCTGTTTTAATGTAAGTGGTTCTCACCACCTGACTGATCAGGGATCTGAGGACAAGGGCTGAAGGAGTCTCAGGTTGAGAGACATGAGCCTTGGTCTGGAGATGGAATGGTGGAATGCACACCGACAGAGAGAGAGAGAGAGAGACAGAGACAGAGACAGAGACAGAGACAGAGAGAGGAACACACACATGCTGAGATACAAGCACACAGAAATACACACACACACACATACACACACACACACACACACACACACACACACACA